TGCTGCAGACACAAAGACAGACAAACAAATTAAAATAAAATATTTGTCTGTCTCTGTCTCCTTCCCTTTGTCTCCTTGAGTTAATTTGTTGTCTCCTTTGTGGTGTCTCCGCTCCTTTTATATATTCATTCATAAATATATTATATATGCATGTCTATATATATATATGTATATATATATGTATATATATATGTATATATATATATATATATATTATGTCTATAGATAGATATTTACGTATAAATGTAAAATTGTGTTGGTCTTTGTCTGCGAATATCCGCACAAATATTTAAATAAAATAAACAAATATATATATATATATTATGTCTATATATATATATATAAATATATATATGTATATATATATATATATATATATATGTTTATATATTTCTCTGTAGTGTCTTAGTGTCTTAGTAGTGTCTGTTAAACAACTAAGCGAAGACAACAAATGCAAAACCGGCAGATGTGAGGGGGGGGGCAAATGAAGAGTTGCTGCTGCTGCTGCTGCTGCTGCTGCTGCTGCTGGCGTGGGCGGGGCTCCCCTCTTGGTGGTTCAGCAGCAGCAGCAGCAGCAGCGGGTAATCTAGCAGCAGCAATTGGCAGTGCGAGGGGAGCTGCTGCAGCAGCAGGTTCTGCTAAAGAGCACTTCTTCTTCAGAAGCAGTAGCAGCAGCGGCAACAGCACCAGCAGCGGCAGCAGCACCAGCAGCAGCACCAGCAGCAGCACCAACAGCAGTAGCAGCAGCAGCAGTAGTAGCGGCAGCAGTAGCAGTAGCAGCAGCAGCAGAAGAGCAGCAGCAGCAGAAGAGCCAGGAGTTTGAGGCGGCATTTGTCTTTTAAGTGTACATACACCGCAAGTATTGGTTTGCTTCTTGTATTTATTCTTTGCTGCTGCTGCTGCTGCTTCACCTTCATACAGAAGGTTAGAATAAAAGCAGCAGTTGTACCTCTCAGTCTCTTTTAATATATTTGCATTCTTATTTTGCTGCTGCAGCATAATAATAAGCAGCAACTTGCTGCACTCATTACTGCAGCAGCGCAGCAACATTTCTTTTAGGGGCCCCCTGAGGCTCGTTAGGCCCACCCACAGGGGGCCCCACGAAGAAACATAAGAAATAAAGAATCTGCTGCTGCTGCTGCTGCAGCAGCAGCAGCACCAGATTATATTAATGAATTCAATATGAAGAACGCCTTTTAAAGAGTAACTGCTGCAGCAGCAGCTCCCCATGTACTGCTTGCTGCTGCTAATGGGTGGCCTCCTGCTGCTGCTGCTGCTGCTGCTGCAGCTGCTGAACCACCGAGAGGGCCCCCCGCCCACGGCAGCAGCAGCAGCAACAGCAGCAACAGCAGCAGCAGCAACTCCTCATTTGCCCCCATCACATCTGGCGTTTTTGTTTTAAGTCTTTGTTTGGTTGCTTAGCAGAGACACAAAAGGTCCTCAGTTGCTGCTGTTCATGTCCCCACTGCTGCAGCAGCAGCAGCAGCAGCAGCAGAGGCCCCCTCCCTCCGCAGCAGCAGTAGCAGCAGCAGCGACAGCTCAAGAGCCTTCCTTCCTTCCGTAGGGGCCCTCCCTCTTTAAATTTATTCGTTTAAATATTATTTTATGTACGCTGCTTCTTCTTGTAGAGGGCCAGCGCTGCCCTCACAGCAGCAACACCGCTCCAGCAGCAGCAGCAGCAGCAGCAGCAGCAACTGCAGCAGCTGCTGCAGCGACGCCTGCTGCACCCTTCCTCACCAACTTCTTCCTTCCAACACTATCGTCAGGGGCCCTTTCAGCGCTTCAGAAGAAACTACTGCAGCAGCAGCAGCAATTACAGCAACAACAGCAGCAGCAGCAGCAGCAGTTGCAGAGGGGCCCTGCTGCACCCAGAGCTGCAGCACAGGGTTCTGAAGTGGCTGCGGCCTCCCCTGCCTTTGTTTTATTCTTAATGCTTTTCGCTGCAACATCAGCAGCAGCAACAACAACAACAACAGCAGCAGCAGCTGCACGTTGAGGCGACGTGGTGCCCCCTGCTGCTGTGTGCGCAAACCCACACAGCAGCAGCAGTAACAGCAGCAGCAGCAGCAGCAGCAGCAGCCGGCTAATGGCTCGGCAGCCGCTGCAGTCCCCTTTCGTCCCCTCTCTCCCGGCGGTGACGTGTGGGGCCCTGCAGCAGGAGCGAACAGCTGCTGCAGCTGCAGCAGCAGCAACAGCAGCAGCAGAAGTTACGGGTGCATCTGCTGCTGCTCCTGTAGGGGGCTCGGGAACCCCTTCCGCACCAGGGGCGACGCCAGCAGCAGCAGCAGCAGCAGCAGCAGCAGAAACGCTGTCCCCTGTTGATTGCCCCTTAGCGCCCGACTCTTCGGGGCCCCACACAGACAGAAGTTTTGCTTCTGCAGCAGCAGCAGCAACGCCTCCTGGAGCAGCAGGAGCTGCAGCAGCAGCGCCAACCGATCTGCTGCTGTCTTTTGGGGGAGGCCTCGTGGGGGACGCGCTGGACATAGTGGGCAGTCAGCAGCAGCAGCAACCTGCAGCAGCAGCAGCAGCAGCAGGAACCGTACCCAAGGGTGCTCCTTGTCTGTCTCTCGCTTCGTTGTGCAGCAGCAGCAGCAGCGGACCGCTGGACCTGAAGGCTGATCCCGCCGGCAGCAGCAGCAGCAGCGCAGCAGCAGCAGCAGCAGCAGCAGCAGCAGCAGCAAGGGGACAAACCCCAGGAACGAAGAAGCGCTGGAAGAGCGGGCACCAGAAGCGTGTTGAGCGAAGGTTGAGAGAGGAGTTAGCAAGGAGACAGAGGCTGCTTGCAGCAGCAGATACAGACGGAGACACAACCCGGCAGCAGCAGCAGCAGCAGCGGTGCCTCCCTGGGTACGGGGCCCTCAGCGGCTTGGGGGTAGCAGGCGGCGCTTCGCCGGGATCGTCTCCTCCCCGTGGTGCAGCAGCAGCAGCAGGCTGTGGGGCCCCACAGCAGCAGCAGCAGCAGAACGGCCAGGGAGAGGACGCAGCAGCAGCCGCTGCAGCACTTCTTGCAACGCTGCCTCTCGGAGGTACGGTGCTGCCTGGTGCAGCTCCAGCAGCAGCAGCAGCAGCAGCAACTGCAGCAGGAGCAGCAGCAACAAGCACACCTTCTTCTCGCTGTAAACGGGGGCAGAGAAAAGAGGCGCAGCACTTGAGTGCTGCTGCAACAGACGCGCAACAGCAGTTAGCTAAGGGCCAGGCAGCAGCAGCAGCAGCAGCAGCAGCAGCAGGGGCCCCCTTTTCTGCTCCAGCAGCAGGAACGCCCTATAACCCTCTCGATCTCTCCTGCACCAACCCCCAGGTGCTGCAGCTGTTGCAGTCTCTTGCTGCAGGTCGCGCTGCAGCAGCAGGAGACAAGAACGCCCTGGCCTTAACGCCGAAGCTTGAGGAAGCAGCAGCAGCAGCAGCTGCTGCTGCAGCAGCGGAGGCCGGTGACGCAGCAGCGGCTGCACTGGCGCAGGGAGCGGAAGCTGCAGCAGCAGCAGTTCGCGCTCAAGACGGAGCAGCAGCAGCGGCAGCAGCAGCAGCTGCTGCTGACGCGATCCAGAGTGCTGCTGCTGCTCTGCGCTGCAGCAGTGGGGAGGCGGCGCTGGCTAGCTCCGCAGCAACAGCAGCAGCTGCAGCAGCAGCAGCAGCGGCACCCGTGTCCCTTGCCTCTCTGTGTGTAGGTGCAGCAACGGCAGCAACAGCAGCAGCAGACTGCAGCAGCACGCCGCCGCCACGCGGGAAGAGACAGCGCGGCAGCAGCTCAGGAGAGCAGCAGCAGCAGCAGCAGCAGCTGGACGGGCAGCTGCTGGGTGGTGTAGACGCAGAGGCAGCAGAAGCAGCTCTTCAGGCAGCAGCAACAGCAGCAACAGCAGCCGAAGCAGCAGCAACTGCTGCAGAGTCCGCCGCAGCAGCAGCCCTTCAGGCAGCAAGTGCAGCAGCAGCTGCTGCTCAGACTGCTGCTTCTGTTGCTTTCTGTCTTGCTGCTGCAGCAGAGCAAGCGCCACCTCCACCGCCAGCACCAGCAGCAGCACTGCCTCCTCTCTCACCGAAGAAGCAGCGGCCTGCTGCTCTAACCTGTGGGGGGGAGACGCCTCCGATTGCGGATTGCTAGCTGCTGCTGCACTAGCAGCAGCAGCAGAAGCAGAAGCAGCAGCAGCCGTTGCTGCTTTTGCTGCTGCCGGCGCCGTGTGAGGGCGGTACGCACTTGTAAGTTAGCCAAGACGAAGAGGGATTCAGTAGCAGCAGCAGCGGCAGCAGCGGCAGCAGCAGCAGCAGCAGCAGCAGCAGCAGCGCCGCGTCATTGTTAAGGGTCCTTTTGCTTTCTGAGGGACAGCATCCACTGTTTTAAGGAGGGCGCAGCAGCAGCAAGAGGGGTAGCAACGGCAGCAGCAACAATGTGTGGGGCCACGCAGCAGGCAGATGCTGCGGCAGCAGCAGTTGCTTGCGACAACAACAGCAGCAGCAGCAGCAGCAGCGGTTTGCGCTCAGTAGATCTGACCTTGCGTGCTGCTGCAGTGGGGAGCGGGTGGGAAGGCGTCGCTCCTTTGGAAGGAGCAGCAACAGCAGCAGCAACAACAACAGCAACAGCAGCAGCAGCAGAAGCCGCAGCAACTGCAGCAGCTGATGGGGGCGCGCTGCAGTGGGCAAAGCTGCTGCCAGACGGCAGCGGCATTTGCGCGGTATTTGCTGACGGTTTGCTGCGGTTCTTCGCGACACCCGAAGCTTTAAGTGAGCTGCTGCTGCTGCTGCTGCTGCTGCTGCTGTTCCTGGGATTGGTGCTACTGCTGCTGTTGCCGCTGCTGCTGCTGTTGCTGCTGCTGTGGTAGATTATCGCAGCGCTTTTGCAGCTGCAGCGAGGCTGTTGCTGCATGTTGTGTTGCAGGTGGTGGAGGGCTTGACGCGGTGTGCGACAGGGAAGCAGCAGCAGGAGCACCAGCAGCAGCAACAGCAACAGCAGCAGCAGCAGCAGAGTTGTCTCCTTGGTTGGAGTTAGCTGTTGGGGAGACACTTTGGGACATGTCCTTCCCTCCTGATTTGTTTCACCAGCAGGGACCAGATAGCTGCTGCTGCGCTGTCTCCGCAATCGATCACCCGGTACTTTGCTGCTGCTGCTGCTGCTGCTGTTGCTGTTGCTGCTACGCTCGCTCGTGCTGTTGCTGTTTCCGTCCGTGCTGCGCTTGCTGCTGCTGCTGCTGCTGCTGAATTGGCTATTGCAGCGTTTGTGTGCCGCTGCTGCAGTTGCTGCTGTGGGGGGGCTATGTAGCAGTTTCTGTTTCTTCTCACTGCTGCTGCTGTTGCTGTTGTGGATGCTGCTGCGGCTGCTGTTGCAGCTGACGCTGCTGCTGGGTGTTTGTTTGTGCGTCATCCCCTTCGCAGTGTATGTCTGTTTCTTCTGCAACATGTTGCTTGCTTGTAATATTGCTGTTGCTGCTGCTGTTGCTGTTGCTGCTGCTGCAGATTCAGGTGCGGCGGCTGGTGGACGGCTCTTTGATATCTTCGTTGCTGTTTGTTGATAGAGGTGAAGAGCTGCAGCAGACGTTTGCTGTCTCCTTTAGCAGCAGCAATTTACTGTTTGCTGCTGCTAGGGGCGCCTTCGCGCTCTTCAATATCCACAGGCCCTACAAACCCATACAAGTACAATGCTGCTGCTGCTGCTGCTGCTGCTGCTGCTGCTGCTGCTGCTGTCCGTGTGGCTCGCTGTTGCTGCTGCTGCTGCTGTTTCTATGGCCCGCTGCTGTTGCTTTTTCTGCTGCTGCTGCTGCTATTTCTAGGCCCCGCTGCTGCTGCTGCTGTTTTTATCGGCTTTTGCTGCTGCTGCTTTCTGCCTTTACATTGCGGTTGCTGCTGCTGCTTTTGCTGCTGCTTGTCTTAGGAGTGGCAGCTAGGGACTCGACGCAGCAAGGGTTCGGTTGTGCAGAAGGGGATGATTTCTGCTATTGCTGCTATGCCCAGCAGCAGCAGCAGCAGCAGCAGCGCGGTTGCATGCGGGAGCCAAGGGGGGACCATTGGTCTGTACGACGTCCGCAGCAGCAGCAAACCCCTCCTCTTTTCTGACCCTTCTTGCCCCTCAGGCGCCGTTGCGCAGGTGCGCCTCGTCCTGCTGCTGCTGCTGATGTTGTTGGTGCTGCTGTTGCAGCTTATGCTGCTGTTGCTGCTGCTGTTGCTGCTGCTGCTGCTGCTGGCTCTGTAAGTCGAGTTGCATCAGGCGTTTCTGGAGTGGCATTTCTGCTGTTTTTGCTGCTGCTTTTGCTGCTGCTGCTGCTTTTGCTGCTGCAGTTGTTGTTCGCAGATGAGGGTTTGCTGCTGAGCGGACACAGGCAGGACCCTGTCATTCGCTGTTGGGAGTTGAGGGCCCCCAGGGGGCCCCTCTTCAAGATAGAGAGGAGCTGCAACGCATGCAGCCCCAACAAAACTCAGTTCGACGTCAAGCAGCAAACGCTAGTCGTAGGTGCGTTGCTGCAGCACCAGCTGCTCCTGCTGCTGTTGCTGCTGCAGCAGCTGCAGCTGGCAACAACGTCAGCAGCTCGCTGTTCTTAGCCGGTGCAGCACAACAGCACAGGCTGCTCTGATAGCTAGCAGCCTGGCTAGCTAGGTAGCTAGCTACACCCTGACGACTACATAGATAGCTAGCCAGCTAGCTAGCTAGCTAGCTAGCAGATTTAGGGGATTGTTGTTTGTTGTGCTTAGGGAGCCAAGACGGCTCTCTGAGCTTCTTTAGTCTCGCCACCGGGCGTGAAGAGGGTGGCTGCCTTGCTGCTGCTGCTGCTGCTGCTGCCCGCAGCAGCAGCAGCAGCAGCAGCAGCGACAGCGAGAGCAGCAGCTGGAGGTCCCTTACAAACTCCCCAATTGCGGCGGTTTTCTTTCACCCCCAACTACCGCTGCTCTTTACTGCGCACTCCGAACGGTAAACCCTAAACCCTAAACCCTAAACCCTAAACCCTTACAGCTTAGCAGCCCTACAGCCTAAGCCGTTCAAGCCTAGCAACCCTAAACCCTAAGCGCTAAATCTTGCAAACCCTAAACCCTAAACACAAATCTCTCACCCTTGACTGCGTCTTGGCGTTAACTCTAAACCCTAGCCACTGTAAACCCTAGCAAGCTTAAAACCCTAAACCCTCACACCCCTAAACCCTAGCCTGAAGATCCTGTCTCTCTTTAGGGAAGCAGAGACTCACATACTGCGAAATAACAGAAGGAGACATTTCTTGTTATTTGCTGCTGCAGCACCTTCTTCCTTGGGGAGGACTCGGACGACTGCAGCAGCAGCAGCAGCAACAGCAGCAACAGGGCTGTTGCTGCAGCAAATGCTGCTGCTGTCCGCTTCAACTGGGCTATTGGCCTCTGGTCTGCTGCTGGAGAGCGATGAGGCAGCGCAACAGCAGCAGCGTAGCAGCGACAGTAGCAGCACAACATCAGCAACAGCAGCAGCAGCAGCAGCTGCTGCTGCTGCTGCATCAAGTGCTGCTGCTTGTTCATATTATGCGGTCCTCCCCAGCCGCAAGCGAGAAGCGGTGGAGTCATGAAGGCCAAGCGGTCAGGTGTATGTACACCTGAGGCCTTGTGGGGTGTACATACAGCTGAGGCTTTCTGAGGTCTACATACACCTGATGCCTTGTGGGGTGTACATACACCTGAGGCCTTGTAGCTGAGGCCTTGTGGGGTGTACATACACCTGAGGCCTTGTGGGGTGTACATACACCTGAGACCTTGTGGGGTGTACATATAGCTGAGGCCTTGTGGGGTGTACATATAGCTGAGGCCTTGTGGGGTGTACATACACCTGAGGGTTTGTGGGGTGTACATACAGCTGAGGCGTGGAGGCTGCGCTGCGTCTTTGGTTGCGTGTAGTTGTTTTCGGTTGTCTTTGTTGCAGCTGTGCTGTAGACAAACTAGGGGGACTGCTACTTTTAAATGATACACCAGTAGAAGCAGCAGCAGCAGCAACAGCAACAGCAACAGGATGTGCAGCAGCGATAATGCAAAGGAGACAGAGACGAACAGACAGAGACATAGAAAGATGTAGGAGACAGAGACAATAGCAGCAAAAGAGAGACAGCACCAAAGATAGAGAAACGAAGGCAGTGCTCTTTATTTATTTATAACTGAAAAGGAGACAGAGACAGCTGCTGATATTATCCTTGCATATATTTATGTGGGGTTGGTGCTGCAGCAAGAGAGACGAAGCCCTGCGTCGCTTTATTCTTTTATTTTTCACTGTCTCCTTTTGTTTGTCTCTGGTGTCTACTGTCTCCTGTCCTGTCTCTCCTTTCTTTTGTTTATATACATATATATATATACATATATATACATATATATATGTATTTGTATATACAAATGTGTACATATATGCATATATATAATGTAAAGAGACAGTCTCTGTCTCTCTGTTTCTTCTTTTGTTTCTCCAGTGTCTCCTTTTGTCTCCTTTCACCTTCTTTTGTCTCCTTTCACCTTCTTTTGTCTCCTTTCACCTT